ACCGTAGCGTGTAAAACTTTGAGACTCTTAGTACAGGCAGCAGTTGTACTGGGGCGGGCGTGGGCTAAAAGACGGCAAACAATGCGATAATGTGCAAGAGTGTCCAGGCGATCACGAGATGCGATAGTCGGAAGTATAATTCCCGGGTTAGCTTCAATCACAGCCAGCTGATCGAGGGGAGGGCGATCACTCAAGTTGTCAAGGAATGAGTCCACATACTGGAAGAGTTCAAGGCGAATCATACGCTCAACGTCGTATTGGATCGTAACCGGGGTTATCAAGGAAACGTAGGCTGACGTAGAAGTGGCTGCAGGAGTGTATTCCAGACATGTCTCGTCATCTGCACTGCGGTGAACTTCGAGGTCATACTGCCATTGAGGCGTGGCCGGATCCAAGTCCCCAACTCATATTGGGTTATAGTAATTAGACTTGAAGATGCTAGTAGCACGGGCTGTACCTTCGGTCGTATTAATGTCGTAGTTGTATGACTTGGCTTCGACCAGTTCAGAACCCGTGCGTCCGTATAGGGCCTTCCGACTGATAGAAGTATTAGCCCATATTGGGGCAGTTGGACGAATTTGTGGCGCGTTAATTTCTTCACTCATATACGTAGTGTAGTCACACTCTGGTGAGGAGGAGTCGTTGTCATAGGAGTTATCGTCGGAGTCGTAACTGACAGCCTTGTCCGACATAGCGATGTAATGGGAGGGGGAGGGAGTGATACAGGGGACAGAAGACGTGGGGTTGTTTTGGGCTGTAGCATCGTCCAGTGTAGAATCAGGTGTCAGCTGACGTATGGACTTTCTCAGAGATGATTCAAATCTCTAAGGGTTTGGCCGCTCAAAAATAAGTGTGAATCGCTTGACAAGAAGTGTATCCGTATCAAGCAAAAGTTTTCTGCGTCCGGATTTGGCACTCAAGAAACTAACCCATCGAAACTTTGAGCAACTGTCACGTATGAATTGAAACGGTACTACGAGCTTAAAGAGAATTTCAGCGCCTCGGTGCACGTAATATCACGCGCTCTTTTCGATACCACCGTCCGATTGCTCTACGCGTGTCCAGTTCAAGTGACAATGGCCTCTCATCAATCTTTACGAAATCGGTACCTTTGCGAATGCTGAACTAGTAACAAGTGAGTTTGGGTGTCGATGATCCTCCCCAACATCAATGCCAACAAGAGCGACAGCAGCGAGACTTCACGTGTAAACGTAAGACGCCGAAGTGCGTACATTTTTGGTGTGAATCACTCCAGAGAAGACCTTATAAAAAGAAAATAAGTAAATCATTAGAAGCTCTGTTGAGTCTGGAAGAGTCAGATTTTGAGTTGGAGCGCAGGAATTTTGAGGTAAAGCAAAAGCTCAGAATGCAGGTGCGGCGTACGAAATGAAGCAGTTTGAGCTGATGTTAACATGAAACAAAGGGTCGCATGAGTCCGACAAAATGATTTGCAAACGTATGGAGGTGATGCAGCAGATATTTTCTACCAAATTAAAAAAGACGCGGAACGAGATGCTTTTGAGCTACTAGCAAAAATCAGTTGTCGGTGTTCATGTCGTGTCTTCCTCATCTATATTTTCATGGTATTTCAAAGCATCGCCAAATTATCGCATATCATCATTTTTGATCCAAACTTCGTTATTTTGCTCGTCGACACAAATATTGTGATGGATCAGACACGTCATAATCATATTCACAACAGTTTCATGGTACTCTTCGTCTCGAAAAAAAACCACGCTCATCGTGCCTCAGAGCTGCGCGAATTGCACCTTGATTATATCAACACAACGCGCAACCGTCTGAGAAATGATAAAAAGCTTTAGATCTCGCGTAACTTTACTTTGGGGGCGCATGAGATGAGTTTGAAAAGCATAGTTCGAATAACCGAGTAGAATACTTCCGTCCGAGAAATGTGCTGTCTGTTACCATGGATAATACTGGTAGACCAAACAGTGCCGCGCGAACGTATCGACGATGATCGCCAATGATCTGTCTGCCAAGAGTGTAGCTCAACTTCCGATGAAAATGGCGGAGCGCATAAACAGGACTATATTGATAAAAGACCAATGATCTCCCTGTGGCTTGTACTTGAGCCCTAACGCTGTTCATTAATCGCGCCGAACACTCCTCGCAGAACACACTGACACTCGATTGTAGTAGAAATTTTTGTATGCTCCTGGTCACTCGACACGGCTAAGCAATCGTCAAGCAGCATTCATCAGGCGGAGTTCAACCCTTAAAACAGTTTTTCTTCAACCCCAAAAGCTGTGCGACGATGTGGTAGAGCCGCCGACGCCGCTGGTAGCCATGTAGCCGATGACGACCTGGAGCTGCAGCTTGATGTCGGTTTGTACCGGCCCGACCATGTTGTAAATCACTTTGTCAGATATCTTGCTCGATTGTCACAATTTACTCAAATGTGTCAAGTGTTATTCTTAGATCACGCTTGGGCCTAAACTTGATTTAGAGAAAAGAGTCAATTGGCAGTCCACTCGGCAATTTTGTTCACTGCATCGCGTGCAGCGATGTATCGTTGACTTTTGGCGATTATATAGAGAAGGGGGGAAGTGGGATATATATTCTTAGCTTAATTGAGGCGCGGCTCCGTACGAGAAATTACTCTCGCTCCTCTAGGTCTTGCTGCACCTTAATTATCGAAGCATGTTTATCTGATGATTTGAAATGGAAAGTTTTTTTCGTGCGATTGATGGACAAACACTTCACACAGCCGCAGGTGAGCACCAGATGTCTCATCATTTCTAATAGCCGCTCGATTCCAATTTGCTGGTGATTTAAAACAGCATCAGTCGCTGCTTCCACCGTTAAAACCGCTCATCTTAACTTAGCAACCATTTTGGCTGAACAGCAGAATGCTACTGAGGAACACTTCTATCGTAAGTATATAATTTTGCAGATGAATGCTTTCTCTCATGAGGATGAGCCTTCAGGTCAACTAAAATGCTGATGACAGTGGTATGTAGTGATGGATTCAGAAGTCTTACAAACAATGATGAAGTTGCTGATGTAATTCTATTCGCTAATACACCGCATGCAGCTTGTGAAAATGGTGACAGGTCGCACTCCATTCTAAGCGTCTGTGTCGATGATCGCGTGTGTTAGCTACAAACTATCTTATTAGCACCGTAAAAGCGACGCCATCACTCAAATCAGCTGAAAAGAAAGAGCAGTCAAAAACTTTAGGTCACACATTTGCATCTACAGTCAGGATTTATTCGACGTCGTCAAACCTTGGTTGCAAGTGAGCGCCTGTCAGCAAGTTTGTTGATTACTCGCTCCAAGTCTCTTTTTGGCTATACTCAACATTGCAATGTTGACTGTGATTATCCAAGCTCTTCCATGGCCTAAATATTTGTGTAGGGTATAAAAGTTAGATAAAATAACGGCGCTTGTAAATAGAAACCACGACGAGGATACGTATGTGGCTATGACTAAAATAGTTCTTGCTAAGCTTTATCAGACAACCTGTGGCTAGATACTCATCCATCTGATGTCATTTGTATTAGATTCTCTTTTACTATACTGGATCCCGGTCTAAAACATGCTGCGATCATCAATACACGCGTCGTATTTCTACATCGATTTGCGCATCGAATTGACCCATGCTTATTAACCCGTCTCGATGAGCAAAAGCGTCTAGTCGGTGTCGTGGAGAAAATCTGGCGCTCAAAATCTGACGTCCTACTACTGCTTGAAAAAGTTTAAACGCAAGCAACAAGCTACGGTGATCTTGCCCCCTGGTGAAGCTGAGTACATCACGATTGCCTTAGCAAATCAAAAAAATATATATTTGTGGTCTTTTTTGTTAAAAGCTAATGGTTTGATAACAATAACTTAGCAATCGGGACTGTCAAAAGATTGAAGATCAAGCCCTTGTGCAAGCATAGATAGCTGGAAGTGTATTTCGTGTGAGATCATGTCGAATCTGGACGCGAAACTCTACAGCATGTATTAGCTGTTGAGCAGCTGACTAAATACTCAACGAAGACAAAGTTAATCCGCGGTTACAAACTACAGCGGTTGGGAAATGTTGAGTACCCACGCCACACGAGATGTGTCAATAAAGATTAATCTGAACTGCATGCTACTCAAATCTTTGCAAGCAAGTACTCGACTTATCAAGAACTCGAAGACAGCGATAATTGATTGACATACCTGATGCACTTTTCATCTTAGCAAATACTAAGCTCGAGTTGAGGAAAATTAATCTTATACATACAGTTAGATGGTCTACCACTATCTATCCTCGTCAACGTATTCATTGCATCGCCATTTACTATTAATCAAGCAGCAATCATCAGCTGCCGTTTTTTTGAGAAATTTGTGGTTTAGATAAGAACCGAGAAACCGAATCGTAGGCCTGGTTAGGTTGTGCGAAAGCTTGCGCCATAGGCTGTTTGAGTACTCCCCACGTTCAGAATGCCTCGTTTTTAGTCTACATAATTTTGCTCTTTGTCTTGCGCCACCTCTGAGCGTGGAGATTACTAGCGCGACGCGCTGGAGCTCAATTTGTGGTTGGACCGAGTCAATGGCCATCCCAACTTTTGAGAACATTCTTTATGACTTTGCTTCTAAAAGGATTAACGCTTAATTGTGGTCGCACCTGTAGAGCTCTGTAGGAGTATGTGGCTTTACCGACATTTGTATGAAACTTTCGCGGACAAGTCTCGCCATCGCATTTGCGATACTGGCGTGCCCTTCGTGCGGGCGAAAACCGCCACAAGCCTTAGACCGCTGGTTGAGCAGCCCAGTTAGGACCAACTGGAGACAGGGGCAATTCAAGCGAGTCTTGTCTTTTGATATCCCTTGGTTAACAAGTGGAAACTCCGCGTTTTACCTTTAGGGGGTACAATCGTCCCAAGTCTCAGCCGTCAAAATAAAAACAAGTGCTTTTAGATGCCACGGGGATACCGGGGCACTTCGCTCGGGCACAGTATTTTTATCGTCGAGTCCGCGACAACAAAGGCACAGAAGATTGGTATGAATACCAATTATACAACGCCGAACAAGCATGAGACATATTTAGAATCAAATGTGACAAGCTAAAAGTAATGGCTTTTTTGTATGTCTACTACGATGATACATTGAGCGACTTGTAATGTTGCATACTTCTTTCTGGATAATGTTTCGTATCTATCATTAAAAACTGTTTTCGCTGTACCACGTCTCTAGCTTCAGTCCCTTGAGCTTCACTATAAGCTCAAAAGACAAGTGTAATGCGTACGTTCACATTACGTCTCGTTACGTCGGATCCTAACAAACATTTTCGTGACTTAAGTTGATCATTCTTAAATTTGACGCACAATTGGACCAAAAAAACTATTTCCAATTCGACGTTACTAAAAATTACGCTTGAAGAATCTTTTTTGTGCGAAAGCTGTCGTTTAATTGAGTACATATCCAATTCATACCCTGCAGTTACCATATGGTTATCGTGAGCTGGTCAAGATACAAGCAAGGATCGGCCGATGCGTTCTATTGTACTTACTTGAACCATTCAATATGTTTGCATTATGCTTTATTGTGATAACGTTTATCATCATGTAGTGCCTTTATTCTCGTCATACTTGTCCAGCAAAGTAGCTTTCAATCTTCTTTGTCAAGTTTTTTTCAATCGTGAAGATTCTGTGGTCCAACTTTACATAGCTCTGAGATAACCAGACTTCAAAGCATAGGAACTTTTCTTTAACAGGTGACGACTTTGGAAGGGTGCATTTCTAGCCATTTGGTTGCTTACAAGCATGGAGTAAATACTTTTTTATACTACAATGTCTGTCCTGTGCGCTTTTATGGCATCAAACGGTAGAGAATGAAAGGAGGATGCTTCATAAATGAATGTGAGAATAGAGTAGGTAATACGTACACATGGTATTGATAGAAACCATGATCTACAATCACTCTATCTATAATGTTAGCATAGTAAGAGGCCTGTAGAAGCGGTACAAAGTGCCACCGTATGCTTCGTTCTGCCGGCCGATCGCTGATTTGATCCAGAGAGCCAAATCATTTGCACACGAGACTTTGCAACCACATCCTCTTTTCAATTTCCAATCCGACAATCAGCACTTCTCAATTCCAACCATTTCAAAATTTCCATCCTTTCTTAACAGCAAAACTTCCTCAATGAAGATCATCTTTTCCTTCCTCGTTGCGCTCCCTCTCGTTAAAGGCATTTACAAGCTTCCAGATGGCATGTCAAAGTGTCCGGTGGTTGGCGGACCTCATGGAAAGCCGTTTGACGATACCACAATGGTCCAACCAGGACAGAAAGTGGAATCTATTACGATATGTTACAATGATCGTGTCGATGGCATTGGTATGAAATTCACTCCTTTGTCTGGATTTTCACAAGACCCGTTTCACGGCAGTCGAAAGCATTGTAATGAATCCAAGTTGGCAAGTGATGAGTATATTATAATCATGGAGGCGCAGACTGTGAAAGACGACGACCACACGAAAATTAGCTACGTCAGGTTTATGACCAACAAGAAGAATATTATCGAAGGAGGTAAAGAGACGGAAGAAGACGATAAAAAAGCGTCCTGCAAAGCCCCCGAGAAGCATCAACTTGGTGGATTTTTTGGACGTTACGGCGAGGAGATTGATGCAATTGGTCCAATTTGGGTGCAAATGGATCCCATCATATATGAGCCATACCATCAGAATCCCCAACAAGTTCCCGTTTCAAATGGACAATACAACCAGTATACTCAACAAGCTCCCCAGGACTCGGATTCCAGCGACAGTATCGCGACGAAGTCTTACAACTACTAGAGTTTTGACATTGTCTTCTTTATGATTTCATATTATTGTTTTGTCTGAGCTTATGTATTGTAGCGAAAGACCAAGTTAATATCACCTAGAGAAGAACTTCGTTTATAGTTTGAAACATAGTTCGTTCACTACTTTGTTCTCGTTTTGATATCGTTTATATCTATAAAGATCAAAAGTACATCTTGATCAAATGTAACCTGCATCTACGAGACGCAATGGTTCAGTCAATGCAAATTGTCTTGAGCTGGTCGTCATTTGAGCTAAAACGAATGAATCAGCTATTGATGAACTGGTTGAAGCCATGGCGCGTAGCGCTTCTGTGCTGCCTTATTGCACTCTTTGTACTGATCACGTGAATATACTATGTACGTGTATTATCAACTTTATAATCGTGTGGAACAGCCAGCGATTGCTTAGCATGACAGTTCGACACTGATTTGAGCAGAAAACAGAGAGTTTGAATTTGAAACTGCTTTGTCAAATCTTCATATCAACATGTTCTTCGCTAAATATCCCACGGCGGAGTGACTGCTAAAAATTTGATGCTTATCAGATATGAGCTGGAAGTAGTATCATCTAAGATTGTAGTCGAGTCATCTGGCAGACTTTTACCTTCTTGTACTCGCTGGAATATCCCACTGGTTCACGAGCTCATGCAAATGTATCAGTCTCCCAAAGTGACATTTTATCTCAAGAGGCTGAAATCGTTTCGCATTCATTCAGAAGCGTTTGGACGAGAAAGAAGAGTTTTGCTTAGACATCGAAGTTGAATAGAGAGTGAAACGCAGTCCGAGAATCCTTCACTCAAGTGTGTTTTGAATGCAAAGTTCTCATCGTAAATGATTTGAGCCTCATGAATCAAAACCACTCTATAATACTAATCTAAATTAAAAATCTTGACGAACTCCGGCCTCAAATGGTTTAGTATGAACAATGTGATTGTAAAGTGGACCTCACATGGCCGTCTTACTGATTGAAGGGGATGCATACACGATTATTACTAGTACTCAGTTGAATTGACCAGAGATTGTCGACAGTGGCTTTCTACAATGTATTGAATGTTGACGAATTTCGATTCAAGCTTGAGAAAATATATCGCATCTTCATAGGCTTGACAGTCATACGTCGCCAAAAAGGCTCCAACTCACTGAATTACATTTAATCTTACTCTCTTTTTCTTGCTTAAGATCTTCACTAACAAATTATTGTCAATATCAACAGCGAACATGCTTCCCACGGTCAATAAGACATTTACGCACAATATAGTACATGGAGTTATATTACATTATAAATAGTAAGAAGAAACTGTCGTACTATATATAATTACAGATTACATACTGAAAATGTTGCTGGCCGAAGAAGAAGAAACAGCTCTAGACCATGAAAAACACTGAGACGGCGCTTTACCGCATTTCTCTGAGACGGCGCGCTACTAGCTCGATTCCGGCTTTTCAGGTGTATGCATGTGATATATCACTTTCAAAAACCATAAATATAAATTATTGTCAAACATCTTCACCAAGATATTACAATACTTCTTATCTATAGATGTTTCTCTCTATTCTTGTAATTTCTCGTTGCTAACATTTGATTTGTAGTCAACTTGAGGTTTTGAACTGTTATCCGATGGTAGTGGCTGCTGCTAGTCGAGAACCAGGTCGGTAGAGGCTGGCACTTGTGGTTTTTGAATGTAATCTGCAGCTGTTTCACTCCAAAACTTAAAGCGATTCATGCTAGTATTGTATTCTAATAACTGAAGCCACACTTGTAACGGGAATCTAGAAAACTCGCTGAATTCTTCAAAATCTTTGTGATATATCATGTGTACGCACTTCATTCACTGTGTATTCAAAGGCCTCGAATTTTAAGCTGCAATGTCTTAACATCTTGATGTGATTCTAGTGATACGAGATTAAGACAAAGGATCTGGTACAGCTCAGAGTGCGTGCGATCTAGTGATCAAGTTGGAGCTTCCAATGAAGCAAAAGTTTTCGGACTTTTTCTTTAATCTTTGCAGTATCAAACATTTGGTGTATGGAGTAGTCGACGATTGTATTAAGATCAAGTTTTTGTGCTTTACGTTTGAGATCGGTTGAATTTGTGGACAGAAAGGAGTGTGTACAGAATCTAGTGTTCGACCTCTTTCTAGAAGATCGAGTATCGTTTAAAGAAACTGAAACAAAACTGTCTGCTTGTTAGGATGAAGAATGACATGTGATAGTTTGGAAATATTCATGTAGTCGCTTCGAAGGCAGAAATTTGTGAGTCGCAACGACTTACAACGTTGCAACCACCCAAAAGCACTTGAATTTCTTGAAGCGAAGGGTATGATGCTGTGCTACTTATGACTACACGATAGTTACTACAGTACAGAGCAAAGTTCGAAAAGACCTCCCGTAATCAATGTCTACCATATAATATTTCTTACTATTTGAGACCTTTGAATTGATTACCAGAAACACTTTGCTCGCAAGTAAGAACGTAACATGGAAATCAAAGACGTTGCCTTTACTTCATTTCAAGTTTGTTGTTCTACTCTGCCATTTCAAAAGGAATCGAAACAATTTTAAATGTCAAACTCGGTTTGAATAATTAAAGAAACAATTGTGACCTGACCGTCTCGGTGTGAGATTCTTCTCTAATCCCTTTCAGCCTCCATCCTATCCCCTTTGTAACTCAAACCCTTCCATTCGAACATTCATGCGATACCATGACGCCATTTTGATAAGTAGGCTAAAGTTAAATAAAAAACGGACAAGAAGTTTGAGATTTTCGTCTATGCTGTGCGACTTCTTGAATTATCTTACAGTTTGTCATAGAGAGTGGGAGAGTGGTGGACCTTGAGACTTTGACACGATTTCTAGTAGGTAAGTACTTACCAGCTGCCTTTCATTTGGTCATCATATTAAAACTCACTTGTTCTTAACAAGTCAGTTCATGACGACTAGACGTTCATGAGGGGTGGGATGTATCTACCGGCTGTTTGCTTCCTAGTCGCATGTGGCACAGACTATGCTCTTTCCATCTCAAGTATTGATTGTCACTTCTAATTTTTGACGCAATCGATCGATTGGTTCGTAACTTTTCAAACTTCTAATCCCAACGCGAGTTCGTTCTTTCTCCACGTCTCTTTTTCTTCCCACACCCAAACCTGACGAAGAAAGTGAAAAGTTTCTTGTGTGCATCCGTTCCACATCTCAAAGAATTCCAACGTCCCATCCGACTATTGCATCTCTAAACGAAACTCTCTTCAAGTCGTACAGCACCAGGGGGAAACCATTACCAACAAGAAGAACGCGACTCGTGTCTTTCTTGCCCAAGCAGCGAGACGAACGATTCAGTTGTGAACTTGATTTGTTTCCAATACACACATTCGAACATGTCCATTGAAAGCGTCCACGAGAACGAGAATACAAGTCATCGACCATCAACTTCACTTGAGAAGGCAGTGCGTCCTCTTCAACCATTGACAGTACCACCTACACGATATTCGGATCTACTTTTGAATGACATGAGTATGATGGTTCATGACGTTGATACGTGGTCACGTTCATCTCACTATGCATCGCAACCTCCATCTCATTTATCTGGACCTCCAGCGATGCTTACACGTCACATGTCGATGCCTGGACGTCCTATGCCTCCAATGCAATATCCATCATCATTTGAGATGAATATGCCAGTACCATTATCACGTCATCAAAGTCAAGGGTTTATGGCATCAGGATATCAAGCAGCTATGAATGTACCGATGCCTCCACGTCAAGTTCATGTGAATGAAATGCAACATTTACTTGAAATTAGTCTTGGGAATCAACAACCATTACAATATCCAATGTCATCGCATTCAATGATAAAGTCTGCAATGAATGTCGAACCAATTTCATTCACATCGACCGATCGGACTTCAAAACTTGCTATGGATGACATTGATCCACTTACGTATGTGATCTTTGACAATTCAACTACTTCACTCAAGTCAGAACCATTACAAGAGTTACATCCACTTGAATCGGCTTTTGATTCACTTGATCGTCTACTTCCTGAAATGGAACGTGAAATGCTCTTTCGAATGCCTGAGATGGATCAATTACCACACAATACTATTGTGCCAAAATGTACGACCAAGTCACCGAAGAATGTTGCCATGTGTAAAGTTACAGAGTGTCAACGTCGTGTGCGTTCAAAAGGATTTTGCAAAAGTCATGGAGGTGGACGGAAATGTAGTATTGAAGGATGTAAAAAATCGAGTCAAAATGGAGATTTTTGCATTGGACATGGTGGAGGTAAAAAGTGTAAAGAAGATGGATGTGCGAAAGCCGCGCAATCGCATGGATTGTGTAAGGCACATGGTGGTGGAGCTCGTTGCAAGTTTCTTGACTGTAATAAAAGTTCACAAGGTGGTGGACTCTGTCGAGCACATGGTGGTGGCAAACGATGTCAAGCAGCGGGATGTCCAAAAGGTGCACAACGTGGCAACTTTTGTGCCACACATGGTGGCTTTCGCAATTGTAAAATTGAAGGATGTGTGCGTACAGATCGTGGTGGTGGGTTTTGTGAAGTACATCGACGTGGTCGTCTTTGTAAGGTTAAAGGTTGCAAGAAATTATCACGAAACCAAGGAATGTGTACGATGCATATTCGAGAAGACAAACAAGTGGTACATGAGGCAGATTCATCGTACAATCCTATGACACTCTGATGAAACCACGTTTGGTGTTTTGTGTTTATATGTCACTTATCCCATTGTCCAGTATTTAACCCAAAATGAAGCAGTATTGTACTACTATTGTAATACATTTTGATTCGACAGAATAGGATATGAAAGGGGTTTTAATGTTAAAAATGTCTTGTTTTACTATTTGAAGGCTATGATTTGATCTTGTGCTTTGTTTTTTTATCTTCATAACGTTGTCATAACGTACGGGAGAGAGTCTCAACATCGTCACTACGTCGTAACCATGTGCTTGACCCATCCTGTTTGTATATGATGAAACTATTAAGTATCATTAGTACACTCTCTTTACTATGTTTCTTATGCCTAGTAGTATTTCAATTATAGTAATTCAGTACAAAGAACTATTGTATCTTCATAGTACTATCAAATCATAAGACCTCATTTACTATTTTTGTATTACACCATCTTAACATGAACTATTGACAAGAAAAGCTTACGAAAAGCATCAAGTTTCGAATCTTTTTATGCCTTTGAACTTGATTCTTTCCCGTTTTCATCTCGACATCGTTTTGTCTTGATCTGTGCTTGAAATGTGCGATGTTCTCGACAATATTCATGTGTAAAATTCGCAATATACGACAATAAAACATCGAGTTCTTCCTCCGTTTCTTCTTCTTCAAAATAAGTTAAAAAATGAGCTTTGACAGCTTGTAGCTCTTGAAATTGACACTGAAGTGTTGCCAATTGAATCTTCACATCATTACAAAATGACGATAGAGTCGCTTGAAACTCGTCCATTGTATTGTCCAACTTGGAAGCTTGTGCTTCTTCCATTAACTTTTCTAATCCCGTTTCAAGTGCTTTCTTTTCCGATATTAATGATGCATAATGAACTTTACTACACTTGGTAATGACATCAATATCTTGATAAAACGTGGCTAAATGAGGAACATCGCGCTCAATCGACTGAACGACATATTGCAAGAATGTAATGCCACCAACAAATGCTTTTGTCTGTGATAACTTAACCAATGAATTCAATGAAAACGCATTCACGCCTTGGTCATCGTCACCACCAAAATTAAGTAAATTGCCAATTTGTAAAATATAAATCAATACTTGACGTAATGCTGTGCTTGAACACACTTGATTGACACCTTGAATTACAAGTGATAATGACGTTTGAAGTTCTTGTACACGCGATGGAAATTCTTGTTTAAACACAAGACAATGAAGTTTGTCGTGAAAACGTGGAATTGATTGAACTTCAAGTAGAAATTGCTCGGCTGTACCTAAAGTAGTCACATCTCCACGAAAATTATCCAGCATTTCCATCTCTTTACGATCTGGCCACATATCCATCAATGATCGAACTTGAGAAGGCGATAAAATCGTTGTATTTAATGCTAATAGCTCACGTCGAAGTTCAGGAAAAGAGACTTTAATACGAGCCAATGTGATGGCAATATTCTGCGATTTTTTCATATCAATTAATGCCGTCAAGACCTTGTTCTTCTTTTCACTTCGTTCGGATTTGATCTTGCGAGAATCTTTTGGACTCGCACTCAAATCTTTCACAAACAATTGTTCAAGCATTGCACGACTTTCGTCTGAAATCTGAACTGCTTCTTTCGCCGCTTCAACTGCATCTCCACCCCATAAACTATCTCGTCGAGGTCGATGTTTTTTTCCTTCCCAATGTAATTTTTTTCGAATCGAATCTTTTCGTTTTAACACAGGTTTTGGTTTGTCATGACATTGTTGTTGTTGTGGACCATTTAATTCAATAGGATCAATACCCGCCATTCGCATCTTTTGTTCAACTGCACCACGTGGTAATCCCAATCGAAGCATTTGAAAATATTTGTGATATTTTTCACGATGTGCTGCACGTTCTTCATCGGTAATTTCCACTTGTTTTTCTTTGACTATTTGACGTTGTGGTGGTCCATGTAACCACAATGGATCAACACCATCCATACGCATCTTATGTTCGACAACTGGTTGTGGTAAACCCACTTTAAGCATCTGAACGTACTTCCCATGTTTCAATTCGTACTCTTTCAATAGCATTTCATAGTCCGAATCAATACTTTTGCTCTGTTCATCTTCATCTTTCTCAGGAGATACAATACTCATTGAACACGGTATGTTACCGACATTGCATTCTGTCGTTGTAGAGTGTTCAATGTTGTCACTTTGGTCATTATCATCACAAGATTGTGCTGCCAGATCTGCAAGTACCGTGTGTGTCTCTAAAAGTGCCGCTAAGCCACAAAGTGCCGGTCGTTCGCGATATTGTTCATCAGGATCTATTTCATGATTTCCAAGCATATCCGCGACACTTGATTGATGATGTAACCCAACGGGAATATGTCGCTGTGATAGCATATCGAGTAACCCAAGACCGTAATAATCTTCACTATTTGTTCGTGATCGTGGTGAGAATGAAAAGTTCGAATCATAATCATCTACTTCACTCACTCGTACGTCTGCTAAAATATCAAACGAATCGTATCGTCTTCGATTTTGCTTCGATTCAATACATTCTGAAGCTTCTTGGAGAATGTCTAGCACCCTTTGAGTTTGTATAACATTCTGAACATCGTCTTGATTATCTTCTGAGCTTGATATTGACGTAACAGATGATGCGCGACTATGTCTTGTAAGGTCAATAGTCTTATGATCTGTAGGAATTAATTGACTATTTGACTCATTCTTTCGACTTGTATGTCGAAAAAACTCGTGTACCTTTTGCTTGTCGTTCCACTGAACTGTCGTAAGTTTAAGTTGTGGTTGACCCAATGGTGGACGTTGAAAGCCATGAAGAAACGATAAAGACTCGGCGTGAGTACGTCCGACATTTGGAAGCGCCACATTAGGTTGTGGTGGGACATTTATTGTGTCGACTAGTGTACTCCGCTTCTCGGCACCCATGAGCATTGATATAAAAGATGGCGCCATTGTTACTTAAGTAATCGCGATGGAAGTAGAAATTGCGTATGCAAATTGAGCGGCAAGACGACGGGAATAGTAATGGAATTGCTTTCTATCACCTGACAGACAAGGCACCCATGCTACTGGAATAGTGGCTTTTTCTGCTGGTACTCCATTTTAAGTACAGTAGAGACGACGTGAAGTAACGCCACGAGTCACATGGCCCAATGAAAGTGATAAGGCATTGTTGAAACACGCAACTCGTCTTGTTGCAGGTGCCAGTAATTGAAGGAGGTAGGAAGTCTTGAGACGTGCTGATTCCGTTCGGATTTGAAAGGATATTGTATATGTGCGGACAGAAATGATACCTCTGGACGCAGGACTATTGCAGCTTTTGTCAACAAATTAATAGTACGAGGTTTTGTTTACTTCTGATCTGTAGCAAAATCTCAAATATCGAAAAATTGGCTGAAATTAGAGGTAGCCAAACAAATCATACAGAAAAAGACAAATTATTTCCAATATAAGTATAATATACGTATTTTGTACTTTTCTCTTACACATTAATTTCTGGAGTAAGAAGTACTGCGGATTTAACTTGATATTGTCTTGCAGGACATCCACTCTATGCTACTGAATTTATCTTTGCTCGCGCAATTAGTCTTAGTATCACACCAGGATTTACCGGTTTATCCATGCCAAGTCGCAAAGCCTTTAATTCGCCTGTCCGGTTTGGTTTACGATTGACATTTGCATAAACCAACACAAGACTTGCTGTGTTTATCGAGCGATTGCTTCGGGTAAGCATTAGTCTAATCTGAAGCATTTAATGCTTAAGATTATTGCTAGAAGGTCAGCATGTATCAGACGAATTACGTAAAGCAGTTTCTTCAACAAACACCCGAACAGAATGTTAGTTGCTTCATTTACTGAAGACTCGGGAGTGTCCCGTCTGACATGTTGAACATGTAGTCGGTTCAGTTCACGATACTTTCAGCTTTAAGACGACCCCCAGCTGCTCGTCATGGCCGCAGCTGCTACTACCCAGTTGTAAGAAAACCTGTCGCATCAATTCTTTCGGTTTTCTTCTATTGTCAATCAATTTAGCGATAGATTTTTGTAGTGAAGGCTTTTACACATGAATGTTAAGGTGGATAAGCGATGGAAGAAATATATGCAGCATTGTGATCTTTACGAGTGCAATTTTCCGATTAGTGGTCCAGGTATTATCATATGGTTTTTGATGTCATGCCTCTTGTTCCAAGCTTTAAAAAAGGGCGCGTGAAGACGTGTGCATAAAACCTCCTTGTAAATCCTTTAATTGATGGCTCAAAGATCTTACTTCAGAGAAAACGAGAAATTATGATTATCAAGAGCTGTTATCTTCGACAGAGAGCCTGGATAATCTAAGTTTACTGTATGGCCTGGTTTTGATTCCACCCCGAGATATACAAACAGAATAACTAATCAATACTAGTGAGGCCAACAATTAGCTTTTGCATTGAATTAAAGCGGGTTTAAATGTATGTTGAATATATTATAAAAAATGGACTACAGACAGGGATAAGAAGTGTCGGCTGAGGCCCAAAAGTCGCTTCAATTTGGCCACGTACCCGATTGCTTCCACTCAACACGCAAAGAGCTAAAGCATCTCGCAGCTGCCTTGTGTGTTCTTTGCGTCTTTGGCGTCTCCACAGTAAGCCGAATTTTAGCGACATCATTAACTTCATTTTATCGGTCTTTGTACACTTTTGAGCAAGTGCTTATTCATGTTAGCTAAACTTACATTGTTCTATTTCTATGTACTCTCCATAACCTCATTCCGGTCGGAACAATACATTATAATCTTCTCGATCTTCCTGCATTCAAAAAGCCAACGTGGCTTTCCATTCAGCTCCAATTCATTCTCTTGCATTGAGCTCATCCAAACAGAATGCCTAGTGCAAAACCAATGCCAGCAACCTCCAGCTCCAAAACTTGCCGAGACTTTCAGTGTTTCGATATTTTTTTAGAAGCTTTAAATGCGACTGAATCCGGAGAAAGACAATAATTCGGCTCTAGACGATAGATTTTGCAGGCAGCTGCGGAAAAAGATCCTGCCTTCAACATGGATGGGTTGAACAGATATCAATCCTTAAACGTCCTTGAGTGATAGGGTTCTGAAAAGATCATTGTGTCATCAAATCGCAATGAATGGAAATGCAAGACCACGAGACTACGTGCAGACGACTCAAGGACGCACGATACGATAACCAAGAATACGTCCGCAAAATTGCAAGTATTTGCTTTCTTAAGCCCGCCGGCTTACCGAGTTGTCTGCTAAGTTGCTGCTAGAGTCATCCAACTGATTGGCGCCTCCTAAAACAAATACATTTCAAAGTGCATTTGATCCTAAAGGTTTTGTAATGTATCAGCTGTGGGAATCAGAACTCGGAAGAATGCATATGGTAGAATCGTAGTCGCACAGCCTGCCGGAACCATAACATGTGAAGTGGAAGCAAGTGAACCATATCGCAGCGCCGCTGGTGTATAGTGCTGTTACATTTCATAAAAACCTAAGACACAATATTTGAGCGCTTTGTATAGTGTTGAATTTGTATTGCGTGCTTGCATACCAAACTGCCATCAAAGATAAGATCATTCTTATGATGAATCAGATAATGTGCTTAAAGCTAACAAGTTGGTGCGAGATGCGGGAATATTTTACAGTGTGTGAAGCTGCTGATTGACTTGATAAGCAAGAGCATTTTTATATCTTGCAGCGCGTGATGTTTGCATGTTGAGCTTATGCTTGAAATTGCAGTGCTAGTCACGATTTCGCCTCGATGCTTCTAGAAGAAGAATGTGGCTAACGCCGTATACATGCGACATTCGAAACATCTATGCTACGCACAGTACACTTTTGACTTTATTCGAGTTCCTGTTGCAAGGTGTTTCATTCAACGAGTAAAGCAATTGGTACTGGCATTGAATCGCTAGAACACACAGTCGGAATGCTACGTAACACCAAGTGAGCGGACAATAATGAACGATACGGTCTTTGCATAGCTGTTAAATGGGAAAAAATTGAGTTGGTTTCTGAGAAACGCGTGTGACAGGAACAGTAGGAGCGGACGTTATTGGGTTTGGCTGCTCCCACATCAAGCAAGACAATTTTCATGCGGTAGAAAAGTATTCTTGAGCTAAATTGCTTTTGTTCACGATCAGTTTTGATCTGGTGGGAGACGACGACAGCTAAGTAAAAGAATCCCAATCAGAATCAAAGACCGACCCTTTTCTCAAATTCGCATCACGCGACATTTTCTTTCGCCTTGATCATCACAATGAAAGATATCGCTCTTTCTTGTCTGCAGGGTCATTGCTGTTTTTTTCTTCCAAACGTCTAGAAATCTGACGAATACAAATACCAAAGAAATGGCAACACTTGGACCAAAGCATTGGACGCATGAACTGACACTAGTGGAAGGCAGTGTTCTTATAGCCTTGCCGCTGATCGCTTTGGTTATGAGTTACATATTGCTACGTATTATATGGAAGGTTCCTGAATCACCCGAGTTGTCTCAACGCATATTCCGCTCATATAATTCACTTTCCCTGGAAGGTCCCTTGCGATCAATTCGCGACTCTAAAACCTCGCTCATTGAGGAGGGAGAAGTTGCTGGTGATTACGAAATTCACTGGTATGACACCTTTGATTTTGCGTTTGTGACTGGAATGATAGTCTTTGCCGGGGCGTTGCTCATTCTGACTTATATTTACGAGTCACAGTGGCTACACGAGACCAAATTCTGGGTGATGCAGCTACCGAAGCTTGTGGTGATGATGGTTGTGTCACTTGTTGGTGGGATTATCTGTCGTTGCTTTTGTGATGTGGATGAAAAGGGTTACATCATGACGAACAAGTCGTCAAAGTTTAAAGTCAACTACACGCGTAAGCTGCAGCACTTTGCTGCGTACATGGTGCCACTAGTCATCAAGTCGGAGTATTCTGGTTCAATTGCTCTGGCATGGGGTGATTTTTTTACAATGTTGGGCTTCCTTGTGCTCATCAAGCCTATTCGTGAGCACTCCAAATTCTTCATGCTGCAATTTA